TGGCAGTAATATTGTAATGAACTTGCTAGGCAGCTTAGCCGACTGGCTGGCTGGTTGGTTGGTTGGTTGGTTGGTTGGCAGACGACTTCAATATGTTCATTTATGTATGGGCAAGTGTAGTTGCTGCCACTGAATTTGGACTTTAGTGTCGTTTAACTCTGTCCATCTGCTTAGCATTAGCCAAGCGCCGACTTTATTTCTACTACTCCTCATCCGACTCCATATCCAACTCTATTATATATATAATATTTACGCATTTGTATGCGTGTGTTTTTTTCTTTATTTTAACGGTTTTAATAAGCGCTATTTGCACTCAGTGCTAATTTCTTGGTTTGGCATTGAACATGCTATGCCTTGAGGTTGAGAAGCTTTATAAGGCTGAAGCGATAAGATAGGTTGGAAGATTTTAAAGCACTCTAAATGCGGCTTTTAAGGAAGCGGGGCAATTAGCAGAGAGTCTGTGGCATATTTATGCATACGAAACACACAGAAAAAATCAGAAAATATAGAGAGAAGTACATATGCATTATAAGAAACATTTATATGAGTGAAGTAATTTGCTAGTTATATTTTCCAACAAATAATTTTTGTATAAATGGGTCTCCAAAGTTAAAGTTTATTTGAAGTTTTATCGATGCAATTTTTGGCTTTATGTCTATATCAAACGTTATGAAACTTGATTCCTGGAACATTTCAAAAGATATTTAAAAATGAATGACAGAATGACTTACTTGCAAAGATTGATCTAGAAATCACGTACTTACCTACCAAGAAAGTAATGCCGCGGCAACATATCCCCTAACAGTCATTTATATACGTATCTCTTTTTTCCCAATTTCAATAACATTCATTGTCATGACTTTGAAAAAGTAATAAAAAAAATATTTGACATCTAATGTTAAAACCACTCACTTCCGGCACTCACACGTTGAACAGAAATTTTTTTTATATATTTTAATACTGACTCAAAAATATGCCAGTACTTTTTTACCCCTAAGTTAAGGTAAATATTTAGTGAACTTAAAAATCAATTAACAAATAAACATATTTTATACCCCCAACTCTAGTTTGAGTCAGCGGGATGGGTAAATCGTATGCCAGAAGATTAGTTATCAATCAGTCGGCTTCAAAGTGGCAGGAAATTACTCTTTGATAAAATTGTGTATGATTAGAAAAAGAGTTAATAAATTGATAAGTATGGAATAAAGGCATACCTTTCATTGCAATAAGAATATATTAAATTGTTAGGGACATAGTTAGACAAACATTGAATACTGGCAGATAAGTACATAGATAACTTATAATAGGTACAAAGTTTAACAAACAAATAGATACAAAATGAAATATAAGGGGTTATAGTTTTGGAAATTCATTAGTGGTGTTAACTTTGACTACGAAGTGATTACGAGTGCATTAATTTTCCTTGATTTAATAGAATTTAATTTACATTTTTTATTTAATTTTTGTTTTATTTTACTTTGATTTATTTTATTCTATTTAATTTGAATTAATTTAGTTTATTAATTTTTGTTAAACGATCAGTTCAAGTAATTTAGATATTTTATTAATTAAACATATTTAAAATATCTAAATTTAATTTGATTTAATATATCTTAATTTAATTTAATTTGATTTTATTTTATTTTATGTTTATTTATTATATTTTATTTCATTTCAAACTAATGTTGTTTTATTTCAATTTATTGTAATGCCTTATATTTTTTATTTTATTTTATTTATTTTTTTTTAATTAAATTAGATTTTTACATTTTATGAATTTTTTTATTTTACTTCGATTTTTTGACATTATTTTATTTTATTTTATTTGATTTAATTTAATTTTATTTATTTAAGCGATTTTATTAATCAGTTAAGCTTAGCTGATCTGATTTGGTTAGTGCAAATAAAACAAATTTATTTAACTCTTTGACCAACGTTTCGAAAAGTATTTTAGCATCTTCAGGGGCGCAAATATCAAAAAGCTGGAAAATCTTTAAAAAGTAATGCCATAACCATTTTCATTACTACCATAATGTTTTGTAGCTAAATTGCATTGTATTTTATTTTTTATTTAGCTCAAGTTATTTAATGCATTTAATTTTTCCCCCTTTCTTATTTTTTATTTTTTGATATCTTTTGCTTTATTTCAGTTTGTTGCAATTTTTGCGATAACCATTCGTCTGCCTAACCATTTTGTTGAGATTATCATTTAGGAAAACTGTTGATTAAGTTCTTGTTGCTAACAAATTAAGCAGGGCATAAACATATTTTATGCCATATCCACTATCACACAACATGTGTCAATATATTTTGCAAATATATGCATATACATATCGACAAAATATCTTTGCACACGATAGGGTTATTTTGTAACATCAATAAAATGCATAAGGCCAAAAGAAGGGCAAAGACTGTGAGGAGTATGGCCCGCATAAAATGGGCATAAAAACCGCCAATCGACTTATAGGCAAATGCGTTGTAGCCACAAATGTTAGCAATTAAGCGAACACGCACGAGTTGCCGCCACATTGTAACCCCATCATGATTAAATACAAATACTCAATTCATTTGTACTTCCGAGTGTAAAATTTAGAGCTTTTAGGGTAACCAGTTAAAATATTATTATTATTATATTATTAATATTCAAAAAAAAAAAAAAAAACAGTATAAAATTAAAATTAAAACTAAAATTAAAATTAAAATTAAAATTAAAATTAAAATTAAAATTAAAATTAAAATTAAAATTAAAATTAAAATTAAAATTAAAATTAAAATTAAAATTAAAATTAAAATTAAAATTAAAATTAAAATTAAAATTAAAATTAAAATTAAAATTAAAATTAAAATTAAAATTAAAATTAAAATTAAAATTAAAATTAAAATTAAAATTAAAATTAAAATTAAAATTAAAATTAAAATTAAAATTAAAATTAAAATTAAAATTAAAATTAAAATTAAAATTAAAATTAAAATTAAAATTAAAATTAAAATTAAAATTAAAATTAAAATTAAAATTAAAATTAAAATTAAAATTAAAATTAAAATTAAAATTAAAATTAAAATTAAAATTAAAATTAAAATTAAAATTAAAATTAAAATTAAAATTAAAATTAAAATTAAAATTAAAATTAAAATTAAAATTAAAATTAAAATTAAAATTAAAATTAAAATTAAAATTAAAATTAAAATTAAAATTAAAATTAAAATTAAAATTAAAATTAAAATTAAAATTAAAATTAAAATTAAAATTAAAATTAAAATTAAAATTAAAATTAAAATTAAAATTAAAATTAAAATTAAAATTAAAATTAAAATTAAAATTAAAATTAAAATTAAAATTAAAATTAAAATTAAAATTAAATTTAAAATTAAAATTAGAATTAATATTAAAATTAAAATTGAAGTTAAAAAGAAAGAGAGATAAAATTAAAGTTAAATTTGAAATTAAAATAAAATTAAAATTAAAATTAGTTTTAATAAGAATGAAGTTGGTTTTGTAATGAAATTTTAAGTTAATTACTTAAAAGATAGAATTTCAATGAAAAAAGGATCTTCACCTGGTCAGCCACAGCATTGCTTTCCACAAGTAACTCACTAACCTCTCAACCAGCGCAACTAGCTTTCATTTATCGCTAATCCACTGAACCACACTGCGGGTTTTCGGGACGCCAATATAGGAAAACTACTTTGAAGCTATGCTTTGTATGAACGTATGTATAAGCTGGAGCCAAATAACCGTGGCAGCAGCACATAATTTAAATTAATCCTTAATTACGTTGACAACATCCTGCTGCTGCTACTTGTCGACCATCAGTGTATCTGTATCTCAGTGTCGGATGTTGGCTTAACGAACTTATCAAAAGAGATGGAGAAGGTGGAAGATAGCTATATACACACTACATGAATTTGCTGTGAAAGCCGCATTAACCGCATTTAGTTAAGCCATGCCACTTGAAATTGAAACATTCGCGAGTACATACAACATTACTCTTAGTTGCTGCCGTGTTGTTGCTGTGTTGTCGCATGCATTCTCTTGCTCGATTGCGCCAAATGCCAGGCACTGTGTGGTGCCGTCATTTAAAGTCAATTAATTTATATATTTGCACGCATATACATACATATGCACGAGCATATATGCTATACAGGCATTCTTTATTAATGCCATGGAAGTTTTATAGAAACTATAACAGCAGCAACAACAACAACAACATTCTCAAACAACCACTGCTGTCGCTTTCGGCGTTGTCGATTGCACGTTGCTCGTATTAAAATGTCAGAACAATGTGCTGCATGCCACAAATTTTACGATGACAGCAACAACAAAAGTTACATGCACTCAATAAGCAACCGCTGCTGGCCTTAAGAGTTCAATAATAATATTTCCTTAACATTTACCTAGTCTTGTTGTTGTTGTTGTTGTTGCTTCTGTTACAGCTATTTTATAGTAGCTGTTCATTGCCAACTAACTACCATTACTATTACCTCTATCTTTGCTGCCGGTCTGCCTGCTTGCCGAGGTGAGGAGATACCGCCACAAAATCAACCGCCAAAGTAATCAACAATAAAAAATTAAATGGGCGGCTCGTCTGGCGGCCCGGCGGCGGTGGTGATGGCAAGCCATTACGCGATTGCTACTGTGCGCATGCATTCATATTTCATAGCAGTTCCAATGGCAGCCACCGCGGATGCTTATCAACGACGAACAATCAGCACACATCCAAGGATTGGTCGCTATTTCTTTGTGTAGCAACAACAAAACGTATACAGACACGACCAAAAATTTAAAGACGGTGGAGATAGGGAATGGGATTTGGTGGTGGCGGCATATAAAAATATTAATTAACGCACAGATTTTATTTCAGCAACTTTTCAGCTTATTTTGCGGTCAAAGTTTGCATGTCCTTTTTCTTGGAAATACATACGTTCATTTAATTTTTTTTTTCAATTTATGCGCTCTTTACTAAATTTATTCCGCTTTTTTTTCTTTCCTTTCATTGCAGACTGAAAACCGATAATAATGGTGGCGCTTGGTGTCCCAAACATATGGTCTCAAACGCGTTGAAAGAATACCTGCAGGTAGATTTACTGCAAACGCATGTCATTACGGCGATACGTACGCAGGGTCGCTATGGCAAGGGTCAAGGTCAAGAATATACGGAGGCCTATGTACTGGAGTACTGGCGCCCGGGCTTTGCTAAATGGCAACGATGGAAGAATACGCAAGGAAAGGAGGTAAGTGTAGAAAATGATGTTTTGTGAATATATTGAAGATTAAAAAATTAAATTGTTTGATTCGTATCTCCTCTTAATTTTATTTTGATTGAAATAAGCAAATTAAATTAAAATAAAATCAAATATAACAAAATAAAAAAAAAATAAAATAATACAAAACAAAACAAAATAAATGAAAATATAGTAAAAAAAAAAAACAAAAATTAAATAAAATCACATTAAATAAAGTAAAATATCAAAAATTAAATAAAATAACATACAATAAAATAAAATAAATTAAAATCAAACCAAAGAAAATTAAACTGAATAAAATATAATAAAATAACATAATATAAAATAAAATTAAATAAAGTAAAATATACGAAAATTAAATAAAACAAGATAAAATAAAATAGATGAAAGTAAAACAGATTAAAATTAAAAAAATGAAATGAAATAAATAAAATAACGTAGTATAAAAAAATTTAAAAAAAATAAATAAAATATAAAAAAAAAATAAAATAAAATAATGAAGCGAAAAAGTCCATGAATATAAAAAAAGGCATAATAAATAAAAAGTTATACAAGAATGTCATTAAAAATAAACCTAAATATTTAAAAATAAATTAAGTGATTTAAAATAAAAGATGAAATAAGAAAAGAATTTTATAAAGAAATAAATTAAAATTGTTTGTTACACGTACATATTTTAAGAGGTATTAGAAGTTTCATAAAAAAAAAATATTTTTCATGAGAGATGAAAAAATTGTTTGACGAAACATCTCTAAAAGCTGCAACTTCAACTCAATCCAGCTTTTCAGATATGCAGTTGTAACCCTGGGTACTGTAATACCGTCGCACTGGGCTACCGACGCTGACGTCAATATCCTATCAAATTTAATTTTTGAGATTTTGAGGTTTTTTTAATAAAAAGAAAATGTCAGTAATATGATGATCTCAAATGGACAGATGAATCTATTACAAACGGTTCCAGAAGTAAAGTTTCACTTCTATTACACGGTGAACCAGAACAGCCTTTAGAAACATTCAGAGTTACAGATAATGCAGATAAATTAGAGCAAGTTTGCTCTTATTAAATTGGGTAACTTTTTCCAGCTTAAGCTCTTGGAATTACACTGTAAAATTTAAAAACTTAAATTCCCAGTCAAGCAATAATATATATAGATATATATATTTTATTGATACATTTCTATTGTAATAATCTCCAATACCTATTTTATAATACATAAAACAGTCAATCTATTTTAAGTTGGACACTCAAATATTATAGAACCGAATTAGAAAAGTGATTACTTCATATTTAGCACTACTTAAACAGATCCCGGATATCAAAAAAATACAATTGATAAATATTACATACACACTGACAATACAAACAGCTATTTCTATCTAAAATGTGTCAGTGAGGTATAAAAATGTGTACTTTAAATTTATTATTGGAGAAAGGAAAAAAAATCTTTTCCAATTGATTAAAATAATCTTAGTAGTTAAACTTATTTCTTTTCTCTTTTCCCAGATTCTATCCGGCAACATCAATACATACAGTGAAGTGGAGAACTTATTGCAGCCGATAATTTTTGCATCAAAAATACGTATTTATCCATATGGACAATATGATCGTACGGTATGTCTACGTGCGGAAATTGTCGGTTGTCCATGGGAAGGTGAGTGTGTATAAATAATGAAGTGTAGATTTTAATAAGAGATATTAATTTTAAAATATGATCTTAACGAAATATACAGTAATTTCAAAGCCACAAGTTCCTCCGTTTCTTGTCTAAAAGGTTAAGAAAGAACTTATTTTGCAAGAAAAATATTGGTCCACCATACACTCAGTATATTTCAACTAATTCACAACTAGTTTGAAAGTGACAAGTAACACATAACTCACTATACTAATCTCCGAAGGTGTTCACATATAGCGTAAAGTACTTTACCCCAAGAAAAGCTTTATTATTATTTTAATTTCCAGAAAGAATAAATGCTTTTGCACACGCCTGGAGTACTGTTCTTGGATTATACTTAAAAATTTTGTAAATATCAATGCCATATGAAATTAAATTGCTCCAAACTATTGTCCAGTCCGCCACTTTGTAGTCGCTTACGCCAAAATGGCGCCAATAATACGAAATCGAGACATTAAACGCGCTATCAGAGCCCCTTTCGTGTACCTAATAAAATTGTAATTCAAGTCGTTAAGGGCAGTAAACAGTAAACAGTAAAACAGAAGTAAACAAAAGAATTAGTAAATAAAATAAAACAACAAAAGTACTTGAGCCAACAAAGGCAACAAAGGTTAGCTGGACGCATTACAAAGCTTGAACAGGATATAAACGGAAAGTGGGGCAGCGTCAACCCATCATGCAAGGAGGCAGATATTCGTAGACGAGCAGCGCACTCAAAAATCGCGTGCAGACAGTCAATGACGTCTGAACGCCTTTAAACATGAATGAATGTTTGAAACTTTTGCCAACATATGTCAACTTTTTTACATAAATAAATTTGTGCATCGTTATTGAAGCTTCTGATTTCGCATATTTTTGCTTTTATTGACTAGTGAAAACAAATAGCATGCGATTGTTGCATGCAAAGCAAGTCAAACAGCTCAAAGGAAAGTTTAAAAATATTATAGGTATGAAAATTGGTGACATACAAATGGTACGCGTGACATCAGCAACGAGAAGAATGCATGCTTTTAACTATCTGCCAATTTTCAATAATATCTTGCATACTTCAAGGCGCAATTAAATACCCAAAGAATCTAAATCAAGTAATACAAAAGAAAATAAATGCAGGAAGCTAAAAAATATTAGAACAAAATAACATTAAATGAGCTAAAAAAAAATAAAATATTAAATTAAATAAAAAAGTAAAAAAAAATTAAATATAATAACATAGCATAATATAAAATAAAATAAAATAAAATAAAATAAAATAAAATAAAATAAAATAAAATAAAATAAAATAAAATAAAATAAAATAAAATAAAATAATATAAAATAATATAAACTTAAATTGAAATAAATTAAAAAGAGTATACAACAAATAAAATATGAAAAGTAAAAAAATTTAAATTAAAATAAAATTATGTAAAAGCCTACTAAAGTAATTACAATAGTATATAGCAAAATAAATAAAATAAAACAAGGTAAAATAAATAAAATTTTATTAATTAATTAATTAAAATAATAAAAAAAAACATGTTAAATGATTTATAAAAATGAAAGTATAGAAAATAAAAACACACATAAGGCTGAAATTGTATAAAGTGAATAATGCATTTTCAGGCTGTGGCAAAAAGAAGCTCCTCTTTAGCGCCAAAAAGTAGGCGTAGCATGTTGTCGTCGTGATGACACGGAAAAAGCATTTAACAGGCGGCATATAAATTTTTTACATTTATGGTTTTGGGTGGAACACCTTGGGGGCTGAGCAACCAAATCGTTAAGTACTTGCATATAACAACACAATGTACAGCATATGCCAGCATTCGGTGCTAATACGCGTGAAAGAGGCAAACCTTTGTAGCTTTTTATGTTGTTTTATTAATTTTTTATCAAAGCTACCTTATATGTCGGCATTTGTTGTATATTTTTTCTTTACATTTATTGTAATTTTATGTTTTTATACACCATTTTGAATGGTAAGGGTTGTTATTGCAACACTTTATACACCCTTTCATTGTTTATACAACCAAATGAACTTTATATGTACAACTCTGCCTATAAAATATCACTGTTCATACATATATATTTATATATATTTATATATAGGAATGTACGAATATTTTGTATTACATACCCCCACATGCAATATTTTTCATATGTACACACAAATATTTCTGGTTTTTGTTTTATTGTACACGTGAGCATGTTGAAGCCGGAAATTATATTTGGGTGTGCAACACATTTCATATGCAAATTAATCAAGATAAAATGATTTTGTGCTTCGTTTTCATTAATATTCATGTTGGCTTTGGTATTCTTGGTCTTCATATACAAACTTTTATTTTTATATATTTACATACATATTTTCATATGCAATTACATACGTACATATATATATGAATTAAAAATCATTATTTTGAGTTTTACTGGACTAAATAGAAATATGAATATGGAAAATTAAAACTATTGGTATAAAATAAATAAATATATTGATCTGATAGGAAAATATTTTATGTTTGCTAAATAAAATTAAAATGGATTTTAAATTAATTAATACTTTATACGTTATATTAACTATTGTTACAAATACGTATTTATTACACTAGAACCAAACTGGTTACTTTCAGACTAGTTCCCCCTTACACAATGCGGCGAAAATTTTTGTTTGAAATGCATTGTCAATTAATTCAATACATACAATTTTTTTTGTGTACTAGTTACGAACTAGAAGCATTCCAACTAGTAACATTCGAACTAGTACAAATTCTTATTCAGAAATGTGGTTTAGTAAACAAATATAATAAAAAAAAACTCAACACTCCTTTCGTGTTAATAAGGTAGCCACTCATTCACTCATACTATTCAACAATCTCTTTAAATAATCACATTTTCACCACATATGTACAAATGTATGTAAGTATGTAATGTGCATTACTTATTTATTTATGTAAATATGAAAACAAACAAACCCGTACTCACAGAAGCTTGATTCCACTTTAAGTCTTTGTGGTTTTTCTTATGAATTTTTTATTTAGTCATATACTCAAAATTTTATGAGTTATTTAGTCGGATGCATATACATATCTACAGGGTGCAGGTAAAAGCTGTAGTTGGTTGAAGGGTTGAAAGTGCATATTTTAGTGTTCATTTGTCACAAAGTTAATTAAAATGAATGGTAAAAATATTAATTTTTGTATTTCATTTTTAGCAGCTTTATCCCATTTAATTTGATAAAAATAAGTAGTCACCAAGGTTTATTAAAAAAAAACATTGTGAGTTAGTAAAAAAAATATTTGCAAATAATTAAATATTGTGATGGAATTTTTAATGAAATATAATTTCTGCAGCTGTTCTCTGCTGAATTAATTATAAGTTACTCATTACTTTTTTTTACATATTTTTTTCATTAATTCTATGTACATACACTTTGAACACAATGCGAACGGCATATAAAGTTTTTTTTGTTAGTTTATAAATAAAGTACATTTTGATTACTAAATAAGCTTATTTTTCATTGATGAAAAATTTTTTTTAATGACATAAAAAGATTTATCTAGAAAAAAAATGTTTAGTCTTAGCCTCATTGCTCTATCACCTATAAAAATGGCACAATCAGTCAATAAATGAAACGAAAAAATTTGATATTTGTAGATACAATAATTATAATTAAGTGTCAGAGTTCAAAACCAACAAGAAAAATTTACTGATTTTAACTTTGTTGAATTTTTTATCTCTTTTTATGGGCTTTTACATACAGTCATGCATACGGTTATATCACTAAGGCCATCAATTAACGAACTCGTATAAAATGTCAGACAAAATAAATGAAATAATTTTTAAGCAAAAGGTGTCGACAATGGGGATTAATTTTTTTTAATGGAAACTAACAGGAATTAGTACTAAAAAGTGCTCAACATTTTTTTTTCAATTTTTTATAGCTACGAGGATTTAATATTTGTTATTGTGTATATGCGTGTAAATGGTATTTATAGATGTTTTTATATTATAATCTGCCAAAAATAAAATTTTAATTATTATGCTCAAATTATCATACATATTTTTTTCAAAAATTTCTACAAAATTTTAAGTTAATTAATTTATATACTCAAATTATTATATTTAAAAAATAAAAAAAAATATTTTTTGATTAATTAATTTTGTCATTGAGGGCTTAGTATTTTTGATTTGCTATAATTCAGAGGATTTAATTTCTAATTTGAAAAAAACCTAAAGTTACAAAATTTTATAGAAAAGAAATAGTAAAAAAAATGATTTAAAAATCAAAATATATGATAATCATTCAAATTGCAATCATCAATCTTCGGTTACAATCAGTGCACATTTTAAGCCACGTTTATACTGCTTTTATGTTGACTACGACCGCACAGTAATAAACCAAGAGCAAAAACTGCAGGCAACGCGGCATGACAAATGAAACAGCACACAAGAGCGTCAGAAACAACAATAATAACAACAAGTTTCTACATTAACAACAGTTGTAAACAACATTAAAACGACATAAAGTGCAGCTTAGCTGAAGGCCACTAAGCGTTGTGAAGATGTGTCCAGAGATACTACGTACATACAAAGTTATAAACAAACGCATGCACTCTGCAAATAAACATATGAGAAGGAAATGAAACTACATTGTTGAATGAGAAAAAATTTATTAAATAAAAATCTTTAATTTTTTTTGTTTTGTGAAAGTTTGAGTGTGAAAATTTCTTAAATTTTTATTTGGAGATAATTTTCAAAATTTTGACATTAAGAATTTGCTGAGTCCTGCAAGGGACTAATGCCAAGAATTTAAGTATGGCTACTTTTTATTTTAAAATCAGAAAATTTTAATCTGTGTTTGATGTTTTGAGTTTTTAATATATTTATAATTATGTCTTCTTCTTCTTCATTGGCATTGGCACCGCTTATGCGATTTTAGCCAAATCAATAAAAATTGGCCTTTCACCTCTTCTTCTCACTGTTTAACGTCTGGTGGATATACC